ATATCATAACATAACCAACAAGATTGAGTAAGATCAGGTCAAGAGGCATTTAGGGTTTGGAAAGTTTGGACCATGAGTTTCCAGAGTGGTTCGTCTGGGTTCTGGTCCTGTCCTGGGTCCTTGTGAATCAGTTGAATACCTCTTAAAGAAAATAACAGCTCTTGATCACCAAGCTCAGTGAGCACTTCAGACTGGAGGTTAGGGATAATGGGAGGGGGCACCCCAAACATAATTTTAAAGGGAGTCAGGCCCATCTTATAGGGTGAATTGCACACCCTATAGAGGGCAAAAGGAAGGAGAGCCACTCAGTCACCGCCAGTCTCTAAGGCTAATTTAGTTAAGGTCTCTTTTAGTGTCCTGTTTATTCTCTCTACCTGTCCTGAACTCTGGGGTCTGTATGCACAATGTAATTTCCAATTTGCCCCCAGGACCTGCACTAAACTCTGGTTCACCTTAGAGACAAAAGCAGGTCTATTGTCTGATCTTAACATAACAGGAAAACCATACCTCGGTGGGATGTCTTTTAAAAGCTTTTTGGCCACAGTCTGTGCCGTTTCATGCTTGGTGGGGAAAGCCTCTGTCCAGCCCAAGTCTTCATGCAAAGCTTCATCAAAAATGATGGGGGAGTTTTTTAAATCCTTGAGGAAGTCGGGTCCAGGTCAGCTGTCCATTGATGCCCTGTTCAGGGTCGCTCCATTCAAATGCAAAGATGTGCTGGCTTTTGCATGCCAGTGGAAGGCTCACGGAAGTCCTGCACTGGTCAATAGTCATCTGAGTGGGGTTTCCACACCGGCAACAAGGGGGTGTTCCAGGCCGATTGACAGGGCATTAGAATACCCTGAGCAAGCAACCTCCTGATGTGTGGGGTTATTCCTTTGCAGACCTCTAGGGACATGGGATATTGGTGAACTCATGCAGGGTCCGCTCCTGGCTTTATTTCTATGAACACAGGTGTCCTGTGTGCGGCCAGCCCCATGCCTCCAGTCTCAGCCCATGCTCACGGGAACATGGCAAGCCATTGTTCCAGCCAGGATCAGGAGGGGACTGCTTCTGATGTAGCAGATATTCATCTTCAAGGCTCATAGTTAACACTTGGGTGGGCTTTCCCTCCTGGTCAAGGACCTCCACACCCCCAGGCTGAAAATGGATTTGGGCTCCTAACTTAGTAAGCAAGTCTCTTCCAAGTAGAGGATAGGGGCAATCAGATATAATCATAAGTGAGTGGGTTACCCAGCCCACTCCCAAGTCCACCATTCTTCGGGTAGTCCATGAATATTTTTTTTTTCATGCCTTTGGCTCCTTGGACCCAGGAAGTTTTGTCAGATATATGGCCATGTGGTTTAAGCAGAACTGAATGTTGAGCGCCGGTATCTACCAGGAACTCCACGGGCTCCTCCTCCACTTTAAGGGTTACCCTGGGCTCAGGGAGGGGCACCAAGCCCCATCCCCCCTAATCACTCAGTTCATCCATAGCCAGGACGGGGGCCTTGGGGTGGCTTCCCAGCTTTTTAGAGTATTCTCTGGCCCAATGGCCTTCCTCTTTGCAATAAGCACACTGGTTCTTTCCCAATCGGGGGTGATCCCTATCTTCCCCCTTACCTTGTCCTTCTGCCACAATCTTTCTCAGACGATGTTCACGTTCCCTCAGCTCTCCCACAGTGGTGGCCAGAAGAATTCGAGCCAGGTTTAGGGTCTGGCAGTTATCAGCTTTTACCTGTTTTTCCTCTGCAGTTTCCCTGTTGTTATATGCTCTCTCTGCCACTACCACTGAGTCCTGGATACTCTTCTCTCTTAATCTGTCTACTTTCTATAACTTTCTCCTAATATCTGGCACCACCTGGTTGACAAAATGCATTATTACAGCTGCCTTTGTCTCAGTTGCTTCTGGGTCCATAGGAGTATACCTACAGAAGGCTTCCTGAATTATTTCTAGGAAGGCTGCAAGGCTTTTGAGCAGCTGCTTTGAGACCTCCCAACAGAGCCTGGAGATAGACCTGGAGCCTCTCCTTACCTTCTGCTGTGTGGAAGTCCCAGTTGGGCCGGGACGAAGGAAAAGAAGTGTTGATAGTATCATCATTGGTGGTGGGTTGACCATTGTCACCAGGAACCAATTTCCTGGCCTCATTCTGGATTCTTTCATGCTCCTCTGTTGTAAACAGGATCTGGAGGAGCTGCTGACAATCATCTCAAGTGGGCTGATGAGTAAACAAAACAGTTTCTAATAGGTTAATCAAATCCCTAGGGTTATCAGAGAAGTTGGCGTGTTGAATTCGCCAGTTATAGAGGTCACTAGTGGCAAAGGGCCAATAATGATGAGGCTGGTTGCCATGCTCATCAGGGGGTCCAGCCGCCCTCAAGGGAGGACAGTGGAATCTGGGCCCTGCTGGCAAGGCTGTGCAGCGATTACGGGTGTTTTGGGAGGGGCCGTCTCCTCCAGTGGTGCCTGCCAGAGCAGGCACCTCCGCCTCGGCCACCAACGGCTCTCTTTCCTCCGCCCCCGCTGATGGCTGCAGGAGTGGAGGAGTGGGGTGTGGGTGGTAGGGAGGGGGAAAGAGGAGATCTTCATCAGTTCCTCCTTGAAGAACTGGGTAAAGCAGAGCAGTTGGCTTGGTCCGGTTTGTCTTTTTCGGTCGTGTTCTCTGGGAGTCTTTTCACAGGCTGTCAGTATTACCTCCGGCTGCTGTTTCTCTGGAGGCAAAAAGGGCTTGACCCATGGTGGGGGGTCTCAGATTAAACTCTCCCAAGTGACAATGTAGGGAATCTGATCAGGATGTCTGGTGTAGGGACAGAAAACTGCTTCACGGACCCTGCATATGATCTGCAAATCAAAAGTTCCCTCAGGGGGCCATCCCTGCTCAAAGGAAGGCCACTCCAAACTACACAGAAGGACAAGTCTGGATTTTTTTTTTATTTATTTCTAGACTTAGATTATGAGCGCGCTCTTTAACCTCTTTAAAATGGTCCGTCATAAGGGATAGAGGAGTGGTCACAGTCTGTCCCATCATCTCAGTCCAAGTCAAGTGACAACAACAATACACGGCGATAGACAGACAATCAAGCACAACAGAGAAACAAGAGACAAGGCCAAACAATCCTCTGGAGGCAAAACTGAAAGTAGGATGATGGCCTCATGCCATGCCGTGGGAGTGACCCACACCATCCTTCCAGAAATCACAGGGCACTCCATCCCCTCCTGGCCCGCCTGCGTGTCTGCTTAGATCATCTGCCAATCTACTCAGAAAATGGGCCCCAAATTACCAATCATAGACAATTTATGGATACAGAGACACTTACCAGCTGGTGTCGACCCTCCGGTTCGGGGGTCCTGAGGAGCTTGGGGATCCCGGACCAGCCCCCAAATGTTATGCCCAGATCGCGAAGTCCCAAAGACCACCAGGAAGCCAATTCCAATGTAAGCACATGAGGGCCATTTATTCAAGCTCGAGCAGGGGCTCCCAACTGTCACCGACGCAGCGGATCAGAATTGAGAGCCCCGAATTTCAAATTAGTGGGGTTTTTATTGTGGTTACAGCAAGGTTTGGAGATTTTTCACTTAGCACTTTCATGATTGGTTGGCATTTTGCAAGCATGAAGAGTATATTTCTGATTGGCTAGGCCCATCAGGGGTTTGAGGGGCAGTTACATGTAGGTTTTACAGGGGAAAAGAGGGACAAAGGTTAGTGGTCGACTGTCATGTACTGATGGTCAGCACATTGACAGATTGTTCTATAGATAGTGGACCCGGAACATTCATTTCCTGGGCAAACAGATGGTTGAGTAATTAACTTAGGAACTTTGCTTCATTACATATTGTGTCTTTTGTCCCAGAGCAAGCACATTTTAACCATTAATTTGTGAGGACAGTAGAGACTAGAGGAATAGTTGATTTTAGCAAAATGGAGTCGCTTTGGTCTCACAAAATCTTAATGAGAATGGAAATTACATTAGTTGTTAGAAATTATGATAGTTTTTGGGAAAGGGAGGGATTGGACATAGTTTCAGTCCCTGGGTACATAGAAGGAAGAGGTCCAGTGTAAAGAAGTTCATCAGAGGTTAACAGTTAAAGGTTAACAGTATTTTGAGGGTCAGATCAAATATGGGTACAAGCCTGTATGCAGTCACGTTAAAGTTTCACCTGTGGACCTGTCTGATCTCTGAGAGCAGGGACCTCCCAACTCATTTTAAATTCTCTGAAAACAACACTACTCCATTTGAAGATTTTTGCCCTTGACATTACCAAAAGGAAAGGATGAAATAAGACTATTCATAACATTTATATCAATTAGTGAGCTTTTCAAATGTAAACTGTCATTTGAATAACCCACTAAAAGATTGTATCACAATCTTTGGCTTTAGATGTGTAAATTAAAGTAATTAAGGACAGATTAACAAATGGAAAAAAAGCTTCATCACACAATTGAGTTTCACAAGGAAATGAGATTCAAAAAAGCAAACAGGAGATTGAGCTTTACACACAGCAAGCATTTCCACGAGGAGTGGCTCTCTTCCTGGCATGGAAAATCCTTTGAAAATAGAAATTTCAGAAATGCAAATTTGCTTTACAAGAGGTAAACTTTCTGCTGTGCTTCTAGGGAATTAGAACAAGTGAAGAATTTTTCCTGCATCTACTGCTTCTCAATTGCTTTTAGCTCAAGAAAATCAGTATTCAAAACAGATGTATTTTGTTACTCTTCAGCATCATCAACAATTTTAATTGACTTGGAAAAATAACAGAAATGAGACAATTAGGCAATTGATTTGATTTCAGTTACAATAAACAGTGAAAAGAGAACTAAAGTAGTATTAGTGACCATTTCACACATTTCTCCATGTCTATCTTCAAAACTGGCTGTTTGGACATATCTTTATTTCTATATTCTCTTTGTAAGCAAGGTGAAGTAACTGGATTTCCCCTTGATGGCATGACATCCAGATTTAGAAGAACATTGAGAAACCTAAAAATCATATTTGCCATTTTTAACTGAAAGTAGCTAAGGCCTAGACAGAAATGGAAAAAGTACTTAAATTCATTTTCAGGAATTCCCTCCAGAATCTATTCTACCATGGTTTAAACTGGTTTTACAAGAATGTACATATGCAGACAAAATGCAACTCCTCTGGTAAATGACCTTTTGAATTCACAAGTTCATTTCTGTCAATCATAATGTAACTCCTTCAAAATCAAGCACGTGATCTGTGAAGAGGCAGGATGATCATCTTTGCCTAAGTGAAAGAATCCTAAAACTTCTCACTATCCAATCAACAAACACCTTCTATCTTTACCCTTTCTATAAATTCTTCCTGATACTAGTAGATCAAAAAGACAAATATGAGGGTTTTTTTTTAATCTCCTGTGTCCTTGAAAGTTGACCTTCAAGAAAAAAAGATTCTCTTTTTGCAAAAACTTGATTCCATAATATTGACTTTTGTGCCTTTGGGGCAGCCATTCCTTATTTAGTATTATTTCTCATTAAATTTTTTAACATAATCTGCCATAGGCTAAAAAAAGTTGTAGTCTGGTATCTGTGACAACACAAACAGCAAGAGGACAAGGTTTAGAAAAATTCTATATATGACTTCTGTAAGTTTATTAAGAACTTAACATTAAAGTTAACCCTATAGATGTTATTTCTCCAAATTCAGTTAGAAGTTCATAAGTAACATAAATTGCAAATATTTCTCAAAGCTTGACATTCTACTGGGGACCCTTGAAACTTTACTGGAAATCTCTGCAATAGGCTTCAGTCTCCTGCACAGAGTACAAGGCTGGCTTGAGAAAAAAATACACTAAAAGAATTAAGAAAGACAGAAAGTGGGGTGCTAGGATGACCAATGCCAGAACAACTGGCAAAGGTGATGACCAGTCCAAGCTACCGATTTTTATTGGTAATCAATTGAGATAAAGGAGAGCTATGTGTAAGAATAGCACTATGTGTAAAGATGCATGGTTCTTGCAATTTCTATGGAAATTAATATAAGCAAGACTCATAAAAGACAAAACAAAGCATTCTTGAATTAGGAACAGAATAGACAAAATATATGGTTGTAATTAGAACATTGTCCTTCTAATAAAAAGGTTTTAGTTGTGGGAATGGAATTTGGGCAGGAGTTACTCTGATGTCAGCATGTACAATTCGGCCAGACTCACTTCTCAAAGCAAGCCAATTGTGGAGTTAACTCTTCGCAGCCTGTACTGCTTATAGCCTGCTTTGGGGCATAATCAATACTATAGTCTCTTGTAACACTTAACTTTATGTGTCACATATTTTACCCCACTTGGATATTTGGTTGGGGATATATATATTTAATCAAATAATTATACTCTAATTTCTTCTAAATTTTTGTTTCATAGAAAGGAATTTTTTTATCTTTTCAATGTGTTTGAAAAATCATGTAACAACTAAATAAAAGGCAATTTTAGGTGAGGAAAAATATCTTTTCCTTCTAACTATGTATGTGCCTGGTGTATCTGCCACAAAAGACAGATTAAGAAGAATAAATCACACATATTTACTTTTTAAATAAATTTTATGTGACACTGGAGTCTCCTTAAGAAACAGAAGGCCTGAAGAAACAACTAAACCTACATATTTTTATACTAGATTTAATGAAAAGTGAAAGTAATGAAAAAATTTGAGTGTTACCAAGGTTCTGTGGTGCTGTTGGCTCTTCTGGAGATTCATTCTAGGTTTCTGTTGTCCTAAAGAATTGACCATGACAATTGAAAAAGATAGCAAGATTTTGCATTTTAAAAAATATTAAAGGTAGGAAAAGAAGTATATTCTGTAGAATTAATGTGGGGCAACTAAAGATAAGAAAAGAAATATTCCCAGTAGAGTGCAAAGCAGTCCACTGAAAGAGCTACAGTGGCCAGGAGGTAAATGGTCACCGCCTTGTGTATCCTCCACACCTCAGGCCGAAGTGAGATCTAAGCCATCCTATTAAAAACCTATTTGATCTTATGAGGTATTAAAGATAGCATTTTCCAAATGGTCCCAGGTGCAGGGTTTAGAAAGTGCTCTCTGCTCTTCCCAGACCTTTGTGATTGACATGATCTGACTTCTTGCCAGCTGCTTTGCCACACCCTAATCTCCTGTCTCAATAGAACAAAAAGGGCTATGACCTATAAGTAGTAAACTAGCAGGAAGATAATGAGGTCTGTTCATTCAGATTCCTCTGTCTTTGAAAATAGGTTGGTCCCTTCAACTGGGTATAGAAAGGGTACTCCACTGAGTATCTTATAAGCTATTTCAGAGGAATATCAGAGATTCCTTCTAATGTTTACTATTTCCCAAATTCCATCTGCTTAAAATATTCAATATGCATCCCAAAATATTGCATTTGGGGATAGTGCATCCTGAATCTCATTACATTATTCTTTTTTGAATAGTAATAGCTAATACTTTCTGAAAAACTGCTACATATCAGTATCCATGCTAAATCTTTTATCATATATATTTCTCATAGTTCAATGATAAAGCAGATTATTTTATTTTCCTCTTGTATACATGAGATGAAACAAAAGCAAAACATGGATCAAACTTTAAAAATCCCTAAAAAATACCTTGCTAAGTTATGCAGAATTAAAGTTTGGAAATTCTGACTTACTGTTCAGCCTACATGCATAACTATATGGTATGTATCCATTTCCTCTAAAAATAGTGCTTCAGAAATAGTAGCTATGTGCTTTTGTCCAAATTACCTTTCTTAAACTGATATTGGTGTATAACATTTCTTATTATTGTTGTGTTTCATAGGGATCATGTATCTCTTTAATGTGTACTTCATATGGTGATTACTAAATTATTTAGTATATGGATATATCTAATTACTATATTTTTATTTGTTAATTTTTGGTTTTGACATGATGGAATGAACATTTTAATCAGTAGAATTCAATACTTGCTTTTTTGTATATTTTCTCATATGTTATGTACATGAACTTTTTATAATTAGCTTTTTCCAATCACTGTTAGCTTATTGGTATTTGACATCTTTTCTTTTTAAGGTATCAGTTATTGCTTTAATTACCTCAGGGAAATTTTTCTATGTCTTCAACTATTAATAAAACAAAATTCTTTTCCCTTTTTTTTTTTTTTTTCAATGGTGAGGATTAAATCCAGAGCCTTCACAATGAGGAGCATCCCTAGCTCATTTTTTTTTGAGATAGTATCTTGAGAAGTCAACAAGTTCTATAGACTATACTAATCCTCCTGCCTCAGCTTCCTTGAAAGCTGGGATTATAGGCATGCACAACCACAACCCAGCCGAGAACAATTTTTTAATACCTTTAGTGTACCCACCTATTCATTTTAATGAATTTTTTCATTTATTTTAAAAGAACTCTGATTTTTTGGCTGTCATTCCAGTGTGATTCTCAAAAAGCCATTTGTGAGGACGAAGAGGTGAATTTTAGGTGACAGCAGTCACATAAATGATACACACTTTTGCAAAATTATGAGGAAAAAGCAATAATTTC